GCGTCACTTTGGTTATATTTATGGGCGTGTGGAGAGTTTTCGAAAATTCAGATTACGTAACAATACTGATGCTAACACTAGCGTTTACGTAAACACATATATATTGTTGATTTTTACACACGAGAATCTTCTACAACTTTAGAGAATAGGTGGGAGTTTTGCAATACATATTTAACAGTATAAATTATGTACATTTCTAAATATAAATTTGATTTAATCAAACATTGATTTTAAAATGAATATATAATAATAAATCCGTCATACCACAAGGATATTTCTGTATTGTATGAAGCATCCTGGTTAAAGAGATTGGCACTAGAGTGTGCTTTGCTAGCGATTATGACGGTGACTGAGGGTGATAGTAGACTAATACTGTCAAAAAGCAAATTTACATTCTATATTTAATGAGCTTTCCGAGTTCAATTTTTTGCCGGACAATGGACGAGGACTTGCTTTTTTGAATAAGCATATTTAGTTCAGTAGCAATCAACCTCGAGAGAAAGAAAGCTTGGGGCTGCACACAATCTAATAGAAAAGGACTGTCCAGACGTCTGCATAGGTGCGTGCACTGAGTTATTGTTTTATTTGTTAACAAAGGTGTTTTTTTTCTTCTAAAGTTGTCCAGACTTTTCATCTCACACTTAAAAAGAAACTCACTGCAATCATCTCATACAGAAGCTCTTTAAGACCTGGGCAAACTTGCTGTTTTCTACAGGTGTATATGTCTTATTCTTGTTTTACTAAACAAAATCTGTATCATGTAAATTAAATACTGTGACAAATGCCAGAGGTTTGGAATGTTGAAGATTGATAGAATGAAGGATTGGTGCAGCATAGTTACTGGGTCATGGTATATGCTTGGAATTGACCTAATAAGACCATTTCCTGTCATTAATAAGAACTGTCAGTACATTATAACCTGCAAATTACTCCAAGAAACTGATTATTGCTGTTGTATTACTTGACAAGCCGGCACTTGGGATTTGCAGTCATCTGATTGATATATTTTACAAGCTAGCTTGCAAAACATTTTAAAGCATTAATAAATTCAAATGTGCAATTGTAGTAAATATTAAATGTTCCCTTAAAATATATTGGGTCCGGCATGGCCAGGTGGCTAGGGCGTTATAATGTGACGGTCAATCTGAGGGTCGTGGGTTCGAATCCCCGTCACACCAAACATGCTCGCCCTTTCAGCCTTGGGGGCGTTATAATGTGACGGTAAATCCCATTATTCGTTGGTAAAAGAGTAGTGAAAATCAGACCAAATATGTTCTAATAATGTACTGATACTCAACTAGGCTATATAAGGTAAAGTTCTAAGAAATTTGCTCTTTTTAATATACTAGACTGAGAAAAACAAATACACAAAGTTAAATTAGTAAATTCGTTTTTTTTTTCTTTTTTCAGATCAACTAATACATACTTGAAGTGATAGCCATCAAGCATACAATTACTTCTGCATACTATTCCCAGACAAATGGTCTCAACGAAAACACAATACGATTATTAAGAGAGCACTCGGTAAGCTTGTTGACCAGGAAATGAACAACTGGGACAAATTTATGACAGTTGTATTATGGGAATAAATACTAATAAATAGGAATCAACTAAATTCGCCGTCCTTTTTTGTTTTAGCAACATGCAAGTTTTGGAGTAGAAAAGCAGCTAGAAGAGAATAGTGGCGATGATACAGATACAATTCCTGATATTAGTATTTCTATCTGTGTAAAAGATAAAGTGAAAAATAAAACTGCAATACGTGAATCAGTTCGTTTGTTTTTCGCGCAAAGCTACACGAGGGCCATCTGTGCTAGCCGTCCCTAATTTAGCAGTGTAAGACTAGAGGGAAGGCAGCTAGTCAACACCACCCACCGCCAACTCTTGGGCTACTCTTTTTACCAACGAATAGTGGGATTGATCGTCACATTATAACGCACCCACGGCTGAAAGGGCGAGCATGTTTGGTGTGACGGGGATTCGAACCCGCAGACTGCGAGTCGAGCACCCTAACCACCTGGCCATGCCGGGCACATGAATCAGCATTTTAACCAGAACCTACAGTTTATGAAAGCCCTGTAATAATTTTTATTGTGTTCATCTATAATTTCATTATGATGATTGCCTCTATAAAATTTACTTGTTTTTTTGTTGCTGTTGTTGTTGGCTTAAAAGGGAAAGCGACTATTCAACACCATCCAATATTAACTCGTGTACTACTATTAATAAAATAGCAGGATTTGACTGTCACTAGTATAACTCGTACCTTGGGCATATTAGAATGTTTTAAGTTACTGTTGGTATTTTATATAGTTTTTGTAATTTAGTGCCCGATAATAAACCTCAAAGAGATATATAATAATCATGGTTTGTTTTACAATTATACATACGTTAACCTAGCTGCTTTTTATATCAGTACACCTAAATGTTTTGCATGTGATCCCTGAATTATGGGTTTTACTAGCATCTGTCTGATGGTACATGAATGATGGGGAACACTTTAGGTGACAGTAAACTAAGCTTTAGACTACTTTTTGTAGTAATACAATCTTGGCCAAAATCTTTGCATACTGTTCTATATTTATGTTATTGTCTACGTGCAGGGAGTAATTTTTGAGTAAATGCCCGAGTAGTAACAGAGAAGGTAGCGTATGTACGAATTGTTATTCTGGTTTTTATAAGTTTTTTTTTTTAGTCTTTGTTCGTAAAAACACACATACATACCTGTTTTGTATAAAAGGGTGTACTTTTGTTATAATATTTTTCGAAACAGATCAACGCTTTGTTCAAACAATTTCTCTGTACTTGGTGTAGAGACATGCCTCGTCATGTGTCAGAAGTTATAGTCAAATTATTCGACTGTCCAGAAATGGTATGAAGCAAACAGACATTGTCAGAGCAGTAGAGTACCCCAGTGTACTGTATCCATAATCCTGAAACGTCGTTGGATTACAGGAAACTACTGCCAGAGATGACCATGTTTTGATCAGGTTAGCATATGAAGGTCGAAAAAAGTCTTGCAACACCTTATGACAGGAATAACATGAACACATTTATTCAAGGGTATACAGAGGAAAGTGAATAGGAGACTGAGCAAACAAGGTTATTTTGCAAGAAGGGCTATCTGCAAACCGAGATTAACCAGAAATCACCGTGTTACTTGGGTAAGATAGCATGCTAACTTACAGTTAGGACACTAGCGACATGCCATATTTTCACATGAGTCCTGTTTACAGCTTGTTAAAACTGATAGTAGAATTTGTGTTCGTCGTTTTCCTGGAAAACAGATGAGGGAAGACTGTTTTTCCCAACAGGAACACACCGGAGGTGGTGCAGTACATGTTTGGGCAGTTCTTTATCATGGTGGGAAAACTGCTCTTCATATCCTCCAGGGAAACGTCAGTGGCATCTCCTACAGGCATCACGTACAGACGATATTTTCGCCATATGCTAGGAAAATAACTTTTTGTTCCAGGATGGCAATGCTCCTATCCTCATTGCGTGTATTGTACACGATTATCTCGACAAAGATGATGTTACAAGATTACCATGGCCAGTAAAGTCTCCAGATTTTAATCTCATTGAGAATTGTTGGCCAGAACTGAGCCAGAAAATTGCTGACCACGACCCTAAATCAACTACTGTAGCTGTGTTGCAGCGCCATCTAGTGACAGGTTGTGACAAAATCACAGTGGATTACACCAATAATCTCATCAACAATATGCCACGTCGCCTTGTGGAGGCTGTTACGAGAAGGAGCAACCAAGTACTGAATGTTTAATATGAACTGATATAAGGTTACAGGCGCTGTTTATAATAAGTTGATGTTATATTTTGTCATTATATATGTTTTGTTTTGATAGGTGAAAATCTGAATTACACATATTTCTGTAGGTGTCTGATAAAATTGTCTGCTGTTCTAATAAATCATTCATGATGTCCATAGAACCTGTCTCATTATACAAATTGCATTTGTAGATGTTTAATATAACATGCATTTCTCAGTTTGACAGTGCTAAGTGTATTTGTATTCTATCTTACTAATAATGATCTTAGTTGTCACAAAATATGCAAACATTTAGGGCAAGACTGTATTTACTATAGAACAAATGTATATATTGCAAGATAATATATGTTAATTCCGTAGTAACTTGATAATAAAATAGTGTTAAGCTTGGATTGGTACATTATATGTATATGCATTAATGCCTCAGCATTCTTTGTTTAAGGTTACAAGTGACATTCAAAAAGCACAAGAGAAGCAGAAAAATGAAGTATAAGAAAAGTAGGGAAAAGAGGGGAGGGTAAAATGTGTCAGTTTCAACCCTGTGACGAGGTGCTAAGCAGAAATACTGACCGAGAAAGGCCATAAACTAGAGTATTCGTGGAAAGGTCAATATGAAACTGTTGGGATTACCAACAAAGGGGTGGCCAGACTGACAATGAACGAAAATAAGAAATCTCGGTTTTGGCTGTTCGCCGGTTTTCGACTTTGAGACACTCTGGATACCTGAAAAGTGGCATATACACCGGAGATAGGGCTACTATGCCAAGTAGCTCTTCATATCTAGCTTCTGATGACTTTTGTATTGCTTTAATATGGAATGCTAGCGCATTTTCCGATACTTTTACTCTGTAATGAGTAAAGGATTCAAACATATCGCATATTTTACATTTTCAAATATAATATTCTTTCACCAATATAAAACTCCAATAAGCAGATATCGTTAATATATGTTAGTTAATTCATAGGCTTAACGAGACTGAAACAAGTATTAACGAAATTTCAAGTTTTAAATACACGATAATCAATTGAAATAAATAACACAGCATTACCTTTAAGCGTTCTTCTGTTTGTAAGTAACGACATACATATCCTTTTAACAAAAAATATAGGACACACATGGTTCTACTAAATACAGTCTGCCATTACGTCATGTTATTTTACGAGAACTTTTCGACTCTAGCAAATTGTAAGGAACAAACAAACACACACACACACACTATTTTTGATTTAATGTAGCAAATTTCTAATCCTGGTAGCAACTTCCTGTGAAGGTTTGCCAAAAACATCCTGCTCGTCAATGTTACGTCATCAACGTTGTGAGTTTTCACTTCTAGATTTAATCATATGTCCTAAAAACTTACAAGTAAATTATTTTCTGAACGAAACCGTTAGTATAGCTGATTGTGCATTCAGTTAATAAATAATTGATCACGTGTCATAAAAGTTTTGTATACTTTACCAGTAAAATCATTATTTTAAAGAGGCACCTATTATAGTGTTACGTATCTGGTCGTTTGTTAATTTCCGGTATAAATTCTTTCCGAGGACCTTCAGCGATACAACTCCTTTCTTAATTAAAACTAGTTTATTCTTTTTCGATACAACTTTGTAATGTACAGAATTTCCACAGTAACTTTAAACTTAACAACCTTTATAGCACACGCTATAATTCACAGTGATTCACACACTTTACTTATGGTGCCTCTGTTTGCTTGACTCAATTATCTCTATCTTCAATCTATCTATATCTCTTCTATTTATCTGCCTATCTATCTATCGCTTGCTTTATTTGCCGGGCTTATATACTAAAAAAAGAGGGTGCCTGGAACAAACTAGAGTTGCCAGGAAAATTCATGATCCTTCAAGAATGTCATCACGTGTTACCAGAGTCACGTGACTTCCGCTGTCGTAACAATAGTATAGTATATTATACAAGTCATGTTAACATTTTTATCACTTCTTAATTCATCCACTATTTGAACGAGGTTAATATTATGAAATAATTATCCGTCGCTTCATGTATAAAACACTTCGCTTATTCATTAGTTCTATAATTTTCGTTTCTCTAACTGATATTTTGTTCTGAAAGGTTTCCATTACATCTAATGTATAAATATTAAACAAGACAGTTACATTGTTATTCCATAGCCGATTGTGTTTTTTTTTATGATTTAAGTATATTTGTAGTTTAAGTACAAAGCTACACATTCAGCTATCTGTGCCCTGCCCACCACGGATATCTAAACCCGGTTTCTAGCATTTTAAGTCCTCAGACATACCATTGGGAATGATTTAAATACCGATTTAGTACAGATTTAATGTGCTGTAGCATATGATTAGTTTTTGTTTCTATATTTAATTTGTATGACTTACTTTTTTCATCTTCTAACGTTTTATATGTGAAACATTTATTAGTATTGCTAATTCATTTGTTTACATTTCTACAGTAACATAACATACATTTAATCTATTTATAGTACACTGTCATACGGATATTGATTCTTATTTATTTATTTTTACATTTCATCGTGAGAGGCTGGTCCCAAGTGCATAATATATATAAGGTGATTCATGTTGCATTTATCTTTCATTATATTTTAAGATGAATAACCGTTTACAACACTCTTTTACATTCTTTGATAGATTGTTTAGGCAGAATATTCATGATGAAACTTTGTAGAATGGACGACAACTGCCTGTTGTAGAGACACGAGTGTAGAGGGACGACGTTTCGAAAGTCTTCTGCCTTTCGTCTTCAGGACCAACAGAAAGTGGTTAATCTCAATTTAAAAGCAAGATTTTAGCCTCTCATCGCGAGGTTATCTAACTTATTCCTGAAAATATCGTGCGATTTTATAGTGAATTTTTCCTGACATTCATTTTGTCATAGTTTTACACGAAAACGTTCATGATTATTTATAGTTTGATAAATCAAATCTTTTTCATCATTGTTGATCTCTTGAGTGAAAGTGGAAACAAATAAACGAGTGTCTCAACCATTTACTCGCGGGAGTAACAGTTTGAATTTATCAATTTTATATTGTACAGAACTTATTTCATCAGGGTAGAGAAATACGTAATATTAGTTTAAATTCTCAATACATTATTTTCTTCAAAGATATTATAAATTGAATGTTTTAACGAAACAAATATTTCTGTCAAATACTTTGAAGAAGCCTATCAAGATGCAACGAGGCAATCATGTGATTACTTACTCATCCATTTGAAACAGCAGATGTCAGACCAGAGTGGACAATTTCCTGGAGATAAAGTTATAGTATACGTACCAAAGTAAGATAAAACTGGTGTTTCATCGTATAAATACTCAGTGATTGTCATGACTGTGGTCGTGATACATCTAGAAGGATTTTACCTGAAGGACGGACAGTATGTGGTTAAAGAACTAACGTTAAAATGTTTAGTCACTGGATATATAAGTGTTTTTTTATTTAAACAAACGTTTTCGGGTGAGTATCTTCCAGATACAGATCGTCGACAGTGTGAATGGGTGACCAGCTATATTCGTCACATCCTCGGGTAAAGTGGAAACATTGACTATCCCTACTTGTGGAGTGTGGTTTGTTTGCTGAAATAGAAGTTGTTTATCTATAGTGGGAGAGAGAAAACCAAGTCGTTAAGAAGTCTTCTTAAAATTTCCTGTTAAAAAAAGTAGATGTTATATCTAAATGGATGTATCAATAAACAGTTTTTATATGTTGTACATACAATCTCTATGGATGTATAAATAAACAGTTTTTATATGTTGTACATACAATCTCTATGGATGTATAAATAAACAGTTTTTATATGTTGTACGTAGTCTCTTTTCATTTATCCATCATGGCACTTAGAGTTAAACAACATCAAGAGTTACTCTGTGCATTATCTAAAGCTACACGTAAACAGATTAAAGTAATAATTGCTGGAGCTAAAAATGAATTTATCTTGAGCATTTGTGAATGTGCTTTAAATGTTTTAAGGTTAACGTTCCCATAACGAAGATAAAAAAAACAACAGAAACTTAGATTATACAGGTCATTATTGAGAGAGTTGGCTGTCAAGAAAACATCAGTTAAACAAAAAGGAAACTTGCCAATGCAGAAAGGAGAGTTTTTACCATGACTCGTAGCCCCAATACTTTCATTATTTGGTGGTTTGGCAGGATGGGCTATTGGGAGACCATGATTTCCCTGATCCGTTATTAGAGATGCTGAGGAAACTGAATTGTTAAAAGACAATCATTAGGTCGAGCACCTAATGGTTGAGAGGGTGTTATGAACGTTTGCAATCTGAGCCAGAGTAGTAAGTATCAACAGAATGTAGGAACTAGATTCTGTGGGTGCTACTCTGAAAGCTATAAATGATTGAAATGGAGGTGCAGAGGAAATTACTCTGAAAACTTAGCTTGGTCAGAACTCTGCAAAGGGTCACCCACAGTTTACAGCATTAAAGAAGCTCTTACCCTAAGCACGTGGCCCCATGGAAAGTGTGCCCTAAGCACATGGCCCCATGGAAGGTGTGACCCAAAATCTGCTGATTTTCCATTTGATCTTCGTGGATGAACAGCCAGTTCTACAATTAACGAGGGAGTCCAGCCTTTCTTGAGTGTGTATCAAGTACAGTAATAACAGCGCGAATTTTCAATCATGGTAAATAAACTTTTAGTTCAAGTCTTAATTCACCTTTTTTTTTACCAGAAAATATTTATTTCATGAAGCCTGAAATAAAAATAGTATTGAGTTTGATGGCCCCTAGATGACACACTTATGTCACTTCCAAGATTAGTTTTGGCTAACAACACGAAGGTTGTCGATATTTTCCATGCAGGAGCAGGATATGATCTGTAAAACTACTAGTGTACTTGAGGAAGTGTAAAGGCGGCATACATATGGTAATATGCGTATGTAAAACAAACGTGTGTGGTAACACGTGCATGCTCTAAACATTACATGGAGTTCTTCATGGGTGTCTTAAGTGAATTAAAACAAATGAAGCAACTGCATGCAGAATTGTAACAAATGGAAAGGTAGGCAAGAAGAAAAGAGAAAATAAAATAAAGAGAGCTGTTAACAAAGGATTTTGAGCTCGTTGTGGAGTGTTGTTAAATATATACTTAAATGGGGTGAATTTACTGAAAAGTATTATTTAAACTTACATTACACCTGTGATTTTTCATTAACGCTGAACGAATGTCTAGATTTTGACATTAAGCAGGTTTGTGAATTTAACATCAAGCAGACATTAATAACGAAAATACACATCATGTCAAGATGAAAGTTTCAACTGGGGTTTTCAAGGACAGTTTTACCTGATGTTCTCCTAAGCATAGTACCAAAATTTGTCTTTTAACTTAAGTTAAAATATTTGAGTGAATGAAATGTTCACAAATCATATTTATATTAATAGAGCTACACGTGTGTTCAATAGGCTTCGACCTAC